GAAGGAAAAAACAAGAAACCGGGCCTTCTCGGCGGTGGCTCCTCGCCTCTGGAACAACTTACCTCTGGAGATTCGCGTGGCTCCCTTGCTGGGTATTTTTAAAAAACAACTGAAAACTTGGATGTTTAGGCAGGCCTTCCCCCCTCCCACTTAATTCCTAATTTTTCTTCCCTTCTTATTTGTTACAATTTATTTTGTTTTTCTTGCCATCTTGGAGAATTTTTTTTCTAATTATGTAAATTATGTTATGTTATATATATACCTGTTTTATATTCTGTGTTGTAAGCCTCCTAGAGTGGATGCAATGACCAGATAGGCGGGGTATAAATGGAATAAATAAATAAATAAATAAAATTATTTTAAACAATAGTATCCTGTCCAGATGCAAGGCGAGGTGGTGATCTCAGATTTGTACCCTGAGCTCCAGGTTGAAATATCTTTTCCATAGTTGCACTTGGGATATAGAATAGTATTCAGAATTCCTGCTTTCAGATTACCCTTTCAACATCAGTTCACCTGGCACAGAAAGCATGGGGGCATTTTCTAAGGTGCACTAAGTTACCGGGGGAGCACTAATAAAGACTCTTAGGCCTCAGCTGGACAAAATGGCCTAAGATACATTTGACAACTGCACATTATAGGGAACAGCAGTGCAAAAGCTGTCTTTCCAGTAAGCTTGTCTGCCACGTGTGCGCTTATTGTTCTGAGACAACTCAGTCGTTTCCTGGGGAAACAATTTGGAAGCCACAGGTACAGAATAATTTTTCTGACCAAGTTCTCTTGTCTCTCCCATTTGTAGGCCTGACAGCAAGAACTGGCAATACCAAGAAACCATCAAAAAAGGAGATTTGCTGCTAAACAGGGTGCAGAAGCTTTCAAGAGTAATTAATATGTAATTTTTTTTAAAAAGGTGAATACCACCAAACCTAGGACAGTTTTCACATAATTATCATTATATTGTATAACTTGTTATATTGTAGCTGAAGAAATGGCATAGTTAGGGTTTTTACAGGCTACTTTATTGTGTAAACAAAAGAACTGTATAAATGCTCCGTTCATGTTTTCCCATCAACTTCATTTATTAAATGTATATTACAGTTGACAACCTTGTTCTCTGGTGAATCTAATTTATTATTCAAAATATAGTAATTGAACTTGCCGCCAAGGATGGACCTATTCCCTGATCCCTCTGAGAAAACATGTAAGATGCCTTGTGCACACTCAACTGGACATAAGTCACACTGACCTCTCTATAGGCATCTTTAAGATTGTCTTGCGTTTGCTGGCGAAGCCTCCTAATATTTCTGTAACTAAGGAGACTTGAGATCAGAGTTTCTCAAATCATTCAAAGTGCAAGTACTGCTGTAGTAGCTAGAGGGGAGTTGGATTCTGGACCAGAAGTTGTCCAAAAGATGACATGAAATAATCAAGATGTGGTGTAAAAACGTTGATATAAGTCTGCTATATATTATTGTCTAGCCTTTGCTATTTTTATACTTGGATGCTAAGAAACATGACTAATTTGGGGGACAACATTTGGCATATTTTATTTTCTGGGTCTGTTTCAGCTATCCAGAGTAGTCTTTATGAAACTGTAGCACATACTCTGGTCTGAAACCCATCTTGAACTTAGTTCTCATAAATTTAGAAAACAAAACAATTGTACTGTTCTCCTGGAAATATACTTGTCTTTCAAATTGCTATTGAGCCCAATCCAGACCGTGCTTTTTATATAAAATACTTTATGGTATGCCTAATATGAACAGAGCTGACTGTAGGATCCCATGTGTCAGGAGCTCAATTTTCCACTTGACCTCCTGGAAGAAATGACAGCCTGTGTGGCCTTGGGCAAGCTGCATAGCCCCAGAGAACCAGGGAATAGGAAACCCACTTTGAGTACTCTCGGCTTAGAAAACCCTGGACGGGGGTAATTATAAGTTGGAACTGATTGATGGCATGAAATAAAAAACCTAAGAATTACCCCAAACCAAATTTATATCACTGAGCTGAATATATGAAGCAGAGACTACAGACTTCAGGATCTTGTAATCACTTGTCACCTACAGCTTTTCCACATCCTTTCCCCATAAACAAAGGAACTGGTGGGAAGCGAGTAGAATGGAAGAGGCAGTACCTTTCATGTCACAGTGAACTGGAAGATAGATTCTTGGCAGCTGCACAATCTTTTCCCACTGCCAGGGGCCTCTAAAATGCAGAACAATGTAGGTGAAGGATTCTTCCCTTTTCCTGAGTTACAATGAATGGTCATGAATGGCATAATCTGTGTTTTCATTTCAAGCAGGATTTGGAGGGCATCCAAAAGCACCAGTTCTTACTACATGTGATGAGATCCCGGTTTCCCAAGCAGGTTGCTTTTTCAAATCTTCGAGAATGCATGCAGCATGAAGGGGTACTCAGTTTGTGACATGTCTCTCAATACCTAGACATCCCTTATACTACAGCCATTCCACAGAATCACACACAATTGCATTTGAGATGCTTGCAGGGAGTTAAAGCAGACTTGAGATACACATCACCTAATAAGCTTCTAACACAGGCATATCACAATTCAAGCCATTGTGATGTTCCCCTCTTACTGTTCATAAATCCTCTACCCTTTATCTCAGAAGTGGTCATAAAACAAGATATTAAACCTGTTTTATGTCTCTTGGATTTACTGGAACCGGTGGGTTTCTTTGCAAGAATGACTTATCTTTGCCTTCAAATATTTCATTTTTCCTAGTTATGCATATAAAGCAGAAATGTATTGTGCACCTCACGGAAACATTCTAGCCATGTTTTAATTGCATCTGCATGCTAATTTCCTAGTCATGAAGCAAAAGCACAATTTTTTTTCTTATAAATAGTATAAATTATTTTATTTACAGAAACTTGTTACAAAACAAATAGACTATATTTCTTTTTCTTCTTTTAAATATCCAAAGTATTTTTTCTACCCCATGACATTTGTTCATGTACTATACAGCAGCCAACACAAAAGTTCAGCTCTGAGCAGATGCTCTTGAATATGTATACAAATTATCAAACTATTCACACATTTTACACAGGAGATTGCTTCCCCACCCCCACCCCTCTCTAGGGAGCCAGGCTGAACTCCAAAAGCAAGAAGCTTCCATGGCCTACATTCTCATCGACATTATGTAGTGCTCATTAAAAAATAACAATAATCACCTTTCATAAAAAGTAGGATAATTTGCACAAAGCATTTAAAATAAGTTTTTTTTCTGCTGAAGGAAAAGCAGAACAATCTTTTCAAGTCCAATCCCCTTCACCGTACAATTCCCCATTCCCCAAAAAAAAGACAAACAGAAAAGAAAGAATCCTTGGCAATAGTAACTCTTGCCGGAAGACAACTTACCGGGAAGATGATGCGTTGAAATCACACCTGGAGCACAAGCTCTGACCCCTTCCCATACAGACTTCCTTGGAATGAACTTGGATTTTTTAAAAAAACAAAACTTCGCAGTTCATTTCCAATGAAGCTTGTATGTTGGAGAGAGGCTGTTGGTGGCTTGTGTCGGTAGTCTGTAAAACTGCTTTGAGAGGTAACTTTTCCCATAATACAAAATAATGTCAACATTCTGTTATCTAAATTTCTAGCTGATAGAAACAGAAAAAGAACAATTCAAACTTAATCATTTAAAATATAACCAGAACCTTTGGCATTATTTATGAACTGGGGACTTGCTTCAGTCAGACCTTTTTGCTTTGTTTTACTTTTTATTATTTCCCTGCATCCTCTCTCCCTCATTAATGGAAAGTTGTAAGTAGGTGGGAAAAGCAAGCTCCAAATTTTTTTCAACAGAACATTCAAGTCTTTAAAGGAGAAGCTGTCTAAAAAACAGTCCAAGCTTAAAATCTAGATATATAAATCAGGCACTTTCAGTTTTTCCATTAGTTTTAAACCATGTGAAGACTCACACAGATGTGCATGTGTGGGTACACACATGTGCACATACATATGCACACAAATGCTAAAAAGAAAAAAAGAAGCAGTGTATCACAACTAAATCTAGTCTTCTGAGACTCAGGCAACTGTAAGCAATGTTGTTTATAACCAGAGCAGGCCAACAATATGCAGCCAAATGCCACAGTGCCTCACCCCTTAAAGAGGGGCATGGCAACTGTGACATAGGACGACCACCTCAGAGCCTTCTTCATTTGTATCCAGCAGCTCCCAAGACATTAAAAAGGGACACAACCCCCCCCCACTCCCCAGAGGCATCCCTTAAAAACTGCAAAGTAGGCATGTTACTTATTGGCTTGGCAGTGAACCACTTCAAATTATAAAAAAGGTATTTGCTTTTTTTCTTTTTAATTAATAAATACTAGATGATTTTCAATTGTACCAAAACTGGATATAAGAAAAAAAGACCTGTGCAAAAATACATATTTAAATATGTACAATCAATTAACAAAATATGTCTTCTGGAATAGGGATACTTCAATATTTATAATAGAACAAGAAATTCCAAAATAAAGATACAAAAGTATGGGTTTCATTATTTTTTGTGTAATTCTTTGTTCATCATTGCAACAATTTCTTTAGGTTAAGAAAACTGCAGGAGTCATAATGAGAAGCTGGAAAGACTATAAAAAATTGTATCTCTTAAATTAATACCAAAATCTTCCTAAGAAACAACCCCAGCCACTGCAAATCTTGCAAGATAAATTAAATTTGAATTTTCCTTAGTTATTTACATTAAGAATGTTGTCAGAGAACAAAAGCGTCAAAAACAATTATTCATTACTAAGCCCCAAAAATGGAATATTGTTTGTTATAATAATAAAGCAAGTCTACACTTTGAGGGCAGGCATAAATTAAGATGTCCTCTGGTTCTATTGATGGCAAGTTTTCAATTTATAAACCATTATAGACACACAGAACACAATTCCACCCCAGAATGTCTCTTACATGTTGTGCCCCACTGAACGCACAAAGAGCATGGCTGTGTTTGTGTAGAGCTCCCATACTTTCAACATGGCTTGTAATGCAGACATTCACAGTGGGAATTGGGCCCAAGGCTGCAACCCATTGAAATTAGACACAGTGGTTAACTACTGATTTTTTTTAATAGAAATCTGCATTTTTCCCCAAGGAGCCTGGAACTTGCTTTGATGCTTTTGGAGCAACACAGTATCTATATAACAAACATGTTTGAGTACTTAAAGCCACTAAAGTTTAACTTATGCAAAATTTGTCATCCTTTGAAGATAAATCTATCAAAACCAAATTGCACTTGTGATTGAAAATATCGAACACGTGGGGTGGAGCCTTTGTCAAATTTCTCTACAGAGCAGATACATTACTTTGGTTCTCTCGTCTCACTCCCTAAATAAGCCAATTAAGAAATTTTGACATTTTATAGATTCCTCTACAAACTGAAGGGCTGTTTGTCACTTCCCCTACCCCCCCAGTATTCAGACATTTTTAAAAATATTTGCATAATTATCATCATCCTCATCCAAAGTATTTTTCCCCTAAAAACAACACATGATCTTTTGTGAATTCAAGGCTTTAGAGAGTTGTCTGCATAGAGTCTTGTTGCTTCATTGTGTTTTAATAATTCAGTACCAGATTTCATGTTGATTTGAAAACCTCAGCAAGTAAAAAGAAATCAACCAATGAGGGAAAAAAACTCACAAAAAAACCCAGCAGCTGCTGCTTGGGGCGGCTTTAGAATCCCTGATGTGCAATGCACCACAGAATAGGGAGAGAAGCTGGGTTGAGTTTACTAAATAGGCTCAGATTGTCTTAATCTCAGCAAGATCTGGTGCCCTTTTAAGGCAGAAATCTACAGGCACATTCCACACAGAGCTACTCTTGCACAAGCCCTATTGAGGATCCAGATAATCATGGTCCTTCCCCCCCCCCCAGTGAG